TTATCAACAAATACAACATGATGTGGGCCTAGTCCAAAGAAACACTGTCACAACAAGAAGGAGAACGTCTCTTTCGTTAATTGTTTTGCCACACATACCGGAAGTGAACGTCACGATTTAGCGCCCCCAATAGTTGAATCTGTACGAATGATTAGTTTCACCATGGCCTGTGGTAAAACTAACCACGTCGATAAATCCCAGTGCAAACGACAGGAAGTTTACCCATTGGAATGTTACCCACAGTCTCGGCAAAAATTTCCCTATTTTAAATCCAGTGCGATTGCGGCTTAAAACAGTATTTTAAAAATATATATATTTTTTAATTATTTAAGAAGTGATGTGAATAGCTAATACCTTAATCAGACTACCATTGCATTGCGATCGGTTGTAGCAATTGCGACACTCAATCGCACCTAATTGCAATTCACAATCCTGTTTGAAAGCCCACCAATAGTATCAATATCGCAATTGTTACCCATTACAATTGGGTGCTACAATCTTTATTACTCACGAATTATCACAGAATCCAATTGCAATAAATCACAACGAATTCCACAGGCACTGATTGGCTGAGCCACTGGAGGCCTAGGCCTAGTACCGTTTGACCTCCTGTTCCAATATAAAGTGGGATTTGTGTGAATAAGCTCATTTGAATTGATTGCGATCGGGAGTATTCAGTTTTAGATTTAATGTGAACCAATTACATTGCAATGGAGTGTATTAGAGACTATGGTAATTTGATCACCTCTTCCTTTATTCTTTTTTTCAGAGATAAGTATCAATGATCTTTACATTCTAACAAGCTCTCCAAATGCAAGTCTTAGAAGAAGTGCTGAGCAACTGCTGTTGGATAGAATAACACAAAGTAAGTCCTGACAGTTGATACAGGCAACACAACCCTCAAAATGAGACTGTTCCATCAACCACTATTATTACAGGAAATTTGACCTACATTTGTACGGATTGTCCTCTCCCCAACTATATATTTTCAGCTATTTAAAAAAAAAAAGTTTAAATAATTTAAAAAAAAAACACACAATTCAAGAATTTCAAAAGGATGGGTTATTTTACTTCATCTTTTTTATAACTTCCACTACATGAGATATTGGAATAATTTTTAAAAAGAAAGTGATTTAGGAAAATAATAGCAATGTCTCAGTAAGTATTGATAAAATTCCTTAATAACATGCAAGAAATGCTTACGGTACATTTGAGGAATTTTTACAAACCCGCTAATATAAGTTAATTTTTTACTGTTTCTTAACAAAGGTGTTTTATTAAGTATTTTATTTTATGCAAAAGTATAAAATTATAATCTATAGACCTAAAAAGAAACAGAAAAGTCAATCCCTTAAAACTAATTGTGATACAATAATGTACGTGATTTAAAACATTTTATATTACTTTATTTCACTTTAAACCTTGTGTAGCATTATTTTTCTTTATTTTTCCCTTGATTTCTGATATTTGATGCATTGCATTTTGGATAGCCCTTGGATTGAATGCTCATGTCCCACTAAATGCTTCACCGATTCAATCAATCTAAATATTTGTATTACATATTTTATTTTAGGACCTAAGTTTGCATATGTACTACAGGAATGCTATAGTTCAGATTCTGAGCGTGCTCATAAAGGATGTACTGTGTTGTGTGTCATCCTTAAAAGTAGTAAGTAATGACCTTATTGGCATCACTCTTTTTTCAAATATATTTTTAATTATTTATTTATTGATAGGATTTATATAGCGCACATATCCAGAAAGTTGCTCAAGGCGTGTTTTCCTGGTTGTGTACAGAATCAATCAACACAACGTGCAACCTCCTTGGGGAGTATTCCTAGTTACCCGTGTAATCAGCACTACTAATTTCATTCCGATTCCTTCACCTCCACCAGGTACCTATTAATACTCCTGGGTGAAGAGAGGCAAATGCAGATAAAGTGTCTTGCAGTGTGACGAGCATCGTTTTTGAACACATGACCTTCCGATTGAAAGCCAAACATGCTACACGCTGCTCCACACGCTCTCCGTATCATCTAAATACTAGTAACTCACCACTACAGTAAACATTCGGGGGAAAACTTATTTAAATTATTAGTGGTGTTGTTGCTGTGGTTGCTTTTGTTGCTACTGCTGCTGCTACTATTTAGATTTTTATGAAATACCGTAAAACCTCGAATTGAAGCCCATCACAAATTGAAGCCCCTCTATAGTTTGGAAAATTAGCCTCAAAAAGAAGCCCATGGGCTTCTTTTCAAAATAACATAGGCTTCTTTTCAAGATAGTACAGTACATACACTGTGCATGAATTTCAGAAAACAAAATAAATTAAAAACAAGCTTGGTTTATCAGTTCAGTTTATTTATTAGACCAAAAGGTCAGGGGCAGCTTAAGCAAACAAAACAAGTAAAACAGGAAAATCAGAGTTGCTGCATAGGCAAATATATATATAAAATAAAACTCGTAGAGATGGTAATAGATTTGCCTCAAAATTTATTAAGAAAATAGACGAGATCTTTCGGGCGTAACCCTTTATCAAGTCAGTGAACAGTATAGAAAATATTACAAGTATATATAGTACATAGGTGGCTACATTATAAGAAATAGTGAACCAATGACATAAGCTTGTCAAAAAATATGACCAATCAAAAGTGAATATATAACAAAAGATCACAAAACAAAGATAACAAAGGATGCAAATGCTTCATACTACGTCGGCAAAGAAGTGATTCATACATCGTCCGCAATAAAAAAAATATACTAGATCATTTAGGAACCATATAAAAA